ATGGAGAAGACAGAATTAATCCGTATTTTGTCTCTGTCTCTGGGAATTTATACCAATTACTAGCAGAATAATCAGCGAGAGCTGCATTTAAACAAGAACAAGCATTGGGAAATCATTTGGTAGCAGCCACAATCTGGGCTCTGTATTCCTCCCATGATTATCCACAGCACTTGTAATGTGTGTGGGTAAATCAATCCAGGCCAAGGTGATCCATGGTTCTCCAGGATGCTCCAGCTCAGTAAGTATCCTTCTCAGACCGTGCCTCAGCTGCTGATTTTCTCTTTGCCTTTCTCAATGGCAGGGTTGTAATCCCCAAGAGGTATGACAGGGTGAACTGTGTTGGCCTGTTCCACAAGAAAAGCTGTTCCATCCGAGTGGTGAAGAAGACTAATCCTGACATAAGCTGCAAAGTCTACAATGGAGTTGGATAAGAGCACATGATGCAGTTCTCTTCTTTCACACCTACCCCAGAAGCTGAATATGCTCCAGATCTCTCCTTTAGAAGAAAGCAGCAAGCAGCATGGCTTCAAGAGAGATGAGTTTACCTTGTGCCTTTCATAGCTCTAACTATGCCATATCTATCTTGTTTCTGACACTAGGTGGTTTGTCTTGCACACATTTGGAACCAAACTTTACCACAGGCTTTTCTCCTGTTGGCATCCAGCGTTAAATAAATTTTCACATAGATCAAATCACTGTAGTCATTGACTGGTCTCCTTAAAAAYAGAAGAATTGGTGGTACCTATAAATGTTTGTAAATCTAATTATTGATTTGGAAATCACCCAGCTTTTAAACTAACAAGTATTATATAAATTGCTGCCAGACGGAGGGGTTCATTATGCCATTACACTTATTGACATTGCCCCAAGGACATGGGTGSCAGAAGAATGGGATGAAATAAACCAGAAAAAATCCCCTTGAAAGCCTCCCCTCCATGCCTTGTGTAGGTCAATCCATTAACGCAGATGCACAAGGGAACATATTCTCCAGGACCTGACTGGTACATTACAAAAAAGGCAATCCCATGCCTGAGAGTCCAACCTACTGCAAAGAAATGCCAATAAATAGCTCCGTAGCCTTCCATACCAGGGTAGAATTTCCTGCAATAATCTTGTTTGGATCAAAGTCCCCTGACAAACAAACCCATGAAAGCTGTTTTTATAGGAAACCTAGACTATAAATCATGTTTGGCCYGTAGACTTCAGGCACTACACTGTGCTTGGTACAAAGTCCATGAAAGTAGCTAATATGAGAAATATCCTATAAAATCTATTTATACAATATTAAGAGCAATTATAAAAAGAGTGCTGTAAAGCTTAAAAGGCCCAGATAAATAATTTGAGTGYGTTCAGTTTATTCAACACATCATAGCTCTTTTCTTCATCTGCCTTTCCTCTACCCTYCTGAAGTGTATTACAATTAAACATTTCACCTCATGGAAAGAACTTCTTTCAGTATCTGTTTTGGAAAACCACAATCAGAGAGTCTATCGGCAAGTGTGGTGCTGAGAACATACAAGCAGAAAACCTGCACATAATAAGGAATACAGCTTATCAATTATCAGAAAAAAACCCTATGGTAGTCTATAAGGTGATTCCAAGAAGCAAGTAAAATGAGAAATTCAGTTGTATCTTCTTAAATCTTCGGTCCAGTCTGGGAGGAACAGACACTGGAGGGGCTCTCACTTCTCTACCTGTGGAGGATCAGAGGATTTAATCCAATTATATATAAATAYATATATACACACCCATACATATATATCTATGGAGGTASATGTAGATACAGATATATATACAAGGGGTCATGCTATCAGCTTCCTAAATGTTGGATTCATTTATAAGGGCCTGTCTAGGGATGCCTGAGTAACAGGCCTACTTTTCTGAACATAATTTAAGCAGTTCACAAAAATTCATGTGTAGATATTTCAGTTTCATAACTCCCTCCATGGAATGAGGGTTATGAACAAATTGAAGATGGCTGATAATGGTTAAAATAGCAATTCTGCTTCTGAAAGAACTAGAGATTCTGACAAAATAAAACCAAACCAAGCTTCTGTAAATACTATAAGGATRTCATGTAGCTCTGATGAAATTAGCATACACATGGACTATGTACTGTTCTGTGGTACATTTTATCCAGATGCTTTTGTCATCAAGTGCCTAGTACTATTCTTTGTGCATACTGTTTGCTCACTGTTTAACAGTGCCAGAGAGAGCAGGACTCCAGATGCTGGAACACAATTAGATTTGCYAAATGTACTGTAGCAGAATTGGCCTCTGAAATCTCATGCTCAGAGGAAAGAAAGAGGCCGAGTATCAGGACTCCATCAAGAAAGGCTGATATGGCTGAAGATCTGACACAACACTGGAAGAGACCCTCAATGCATCCAAAGGGCAGCTGTAATCCCACTGATGTGACAATCCTGTCACTGCAGGGAAATGCTTTATTGCTGTGGCTAGAGAATGGGAACAAGGCTTCTCATTGCTCTCTGGGAACTAGGAATAGCCCCTGCCATGCCAGCTACAGTTCCTTTACCCCATTCCCTATCTACAGCAAATGGGACTGGCCCATTGACAGCACTTGATTAGCWATAGTTGGGACTACAGTACTTCCASGCTGCTTCCCAATATGCAATTTCCATTCTCATGCACCTTGGTACAAATATTCTCATGCATTTCTCAAGTCTTTATGGGCTGGGATCCTCACAGAAACTCTCTACAGACACAGGTTCAGTAGTCCCACTGGGAAATGAGCCCTGGCCAGATACAAACCAGCCAGATCGAGTAGCAGAACCCCTTTTAGCAAAGTGCTGAACCCAGACCCATCTGAGRAAATGTGCATCTTCCTTAGTCTCCSTGTTGCCATTCTCACACCAAGGTAGCTGCAGTATTGACCCCTCTGTGCTACAGCCTGGACAGMTGCTGCTGGGCACCTCTTGGCTTAYACTCCATGGCTGCTGATGCAAGTCCCAGCTCCACAAATGTGTGCAGGAATGACCCAAGTTCTGCTCACACATCARCTTATTAATAGTGAGCATTTTCACCCTGCAGCTTGGATATGATGTGGAAAGAACATGTGTGTAACAGGAGACTAACGCAGACCCATTCACCTCCCCAAAATGGCCAGAACCCTGCTAGAGCAGTTCAGCCTAAAAATCTGTCAGGAAGAAAGTCCCAGATGACAGAGCAAGATATTGGGGGCTGTGACATTTCCTGATCCCTGGGCTGCAGAGCCCTGAGCAGTGTTTCAGGAGCAGTGATACAGCTGTTTTCTGTTGACTTTTGAAAAAGAGCAGATGTTTGTTTGCTAGTTTTCTAGCTYTGCCCAAATGTCTGAATTGAGAGAATAAAAATGGCACAACATATCTTTAAATATTTGGAAGGTGTGGAGGCAAGGCTGGCTAAGGAATGCTGCAGCTGAGGGGAACAGAAAAACAGCTTCACAAATCAAAATATCCCTCAGGAAAAGGACTGTCTGTTTCCTAATGGTTTTCCTCCCCTTTCTTTAATGCTTTGAACAGCAGCACAAATAAACATACGATAAATAAATTAAGGAAGAAACAGAAGTGAACAGGCTAGCCAAATAAATAATTTCAGCTTCTCTGTCTCCAGTAAGATAGGAAGAATCTTTTGCTTCCTGCAAAGCTAGCCAGAAGCTCAAGATCTGTGTGGGCTGATGCCTTCTCATCCCGAGCTCAGTCTGCATGTCCCTTTCCCTAGCCAGATTGGAAAATTWGTCTCCTTCTGAGRTCCCTGGGTGAAAGAGAAATGTTGRGATATGGGGTGCTGCTTCCAACTAGTTGGTAAACAAAGCCTCTGAAAAGGAGAGTGGACAAAAATAAGTAACACAAATTAAGAAGCAGCTCAAGCAAACCCTGATTTGAAAACTATTAACTGACAACAACTGTCCAGCTTACACCATTCTTTAWACAGATTCCAGTTCTATGCTTCTCTGCACTGTAAGATATGTGAAATGCCAAAATACCTTATGTCCCTACTTCTGCTTTATTTCTCTAATGATAAAAGCTGTCTGCTAAACTYGAGATAGATAATCACATATGTAATAGCTGTTACCAGAAAAAATGAAAGAATACAGTATAAATGAAAAATACTTTTACTATTAGTTGAGTTCATAAGAGATACTTATTTTGATATTGAAACAGTTGATTTCTGTTAACATACTACATGCCTGCAAATGAAAATACCTGTTTGCTACAACTGCTTATCACAACTTTAGAAAGGCTCCACAATAGCCACTGGACTAATTATGTAGCTGACCATACTTTAAAACCATTTTTATATAAAGACCAAAATCAGGATATTCTGGTATAGCCCTTGGAAATATTCTGTTAGTGTATTTTCCCAATGCAAGAGAAAAAAAACTGCAATTCTGATTTATGGCTTGGTTTTTGATGAGAAAGATCTGGGTGGAAAATGATCAGATAAAAATCACTTCTGCAAATCCCTTTCCCCCCTTTATTTCCAACTTTCTCAGTGCTCTCTCATTTCTGAGTTCTTTGCCTGAGTAACGGTGTGCCTCTTCCACTCTCACAATCTAAGGACTTATAGTGTCACCCTTCTGAAAGAAAATTTCAACATCTGTCTCTGATGGAATGGAAAATCTGAGAAAACTCGTACTGGCCTCATGAAGCAAAATTTTCTTTGGAGCCCTACAGAAATCTTGCCTCAGCAAGGAGAACAGGATTAGGCTCTATGTCTGTATTTTGTCTCTGTTTCCATTCGAGATCACATTCATGCAGCATGGGGGCATGCTGTGCTTTAGATACTTCCCAGCTCTTTTCTGAAGTTGTTATTCCTCCCAAGTATCCCTAGAATTTGTATATTTATACAACAGCAGAGGGAGCCAGAACTTCAAAGTCAGACCATAACCATAAAACAGAATTCATTGGCTAAGTTGAAGGGAGGGAAGGAAAGAGGGCGGGAGAGGGAGGGGGAGAGGGAGAGAGATGCCATCCAAATTACCTACAGRAACAGCCAGCAGAGCTTCTCTCCTGGATTGCCAGGACACAGAAGATCTTACTTTGCTCCTRCAACATTTCTGCTTTCTTCCAGAACAGAAATGTGCACCAACAGCAGTGATTCTCTCCATCGGTAACTGGTAAGAATTTTCTAAATTATCTATTTCAGATTRTCAAAAGCTCACATCTCTTTATTAAAGTTATCCCCTGCTATTGTTAAAAAAGGCAGATGACTATGTTTGATAAATGAAGGCAGTTTGACTTGTCATGAAAGGTCCAACGCCTGTATCTACTGAGTAAAGCTTTGCAACCTTTTGGGGTGCAAGAGGGAGATGGCAGCTYCTTGGGGCCTTTGCAGGTCAGTGTGCTCCTGTCACCCTGTGCTGGGACAAAAGAACCTGCCTGGTTGCCTCTGATCGCTGGAAAACCCTTCCTATCTCCCAGTCCCTGAGACTTCTTGATGCTCATGCAACCAATGCAGCTTCAGGCAGGACACAACACATCATTCTCCAGATATCCTGCCTGCCTGCCTGCTGAGGTGCCCATTGCAACRTTTTATGGATTCACCACTTCCTTTGCTAAAGATCACCTTTGTAAACTGTATTTTTTTCCTCTTGCGTAGCTAACACATTGCAAAGGCCTTTGCTCCTAAGAAATCAGGGACTAACTAGCATTCTCCAGTCTGCTGACTTGTTTATTCACATTTTACCTCTGTGAGCTGGCTCCATGTCCTTGGTAAGGTTCTGTGAATTTAACCAGAAAATAAAAAATTGGAGTAAATGCTTTTGTAAAACTTSCCAGCTTCCTACAGGATCAGAGAATGTTAACTCGTAACAGAAGTTCATAAGCGCTAAAAGATCTCCCTCTGAAAACATGCAAATGTGAGACAGGGAAAAAGAATTCACTTTCCTGGATATTTATGTTGTTTCCAATGTTAAAGACTTCTTAATATACATAACTTGTTCTATACCCTAATTATGCAGTTTCTAGAAATKTCTATCATACATAGCTTTTTCAATCACCTAAGGTAGTTGCTCCCAATATTTTTCCACACAGATTTAAAGAAAGGTGAAGAGTCTGTCATTAACTTTCACTGTACCAAATCCCTTATGGATTTAACGTGGCTGTGGGATTTCTGTGCAAACTCAGTGGCATGTTTCCTCTTCTATTTGAGTGTTGCTTTCCTGGGAATAACATGTAATAACAACCATGTGATTTTTAACCTTTCTTTAGTATGTAAGGCCAAACAGGGCAAATCTATTTTACTGAGATAATGTCACTAGCAGCCAAAAGGGGATACCACTGTTGGTCAGTTCCCACTAATTCAATTAATATCAGTAATGTGAATTCTGGTATTCTGTTGAACATTTCTACTGCTCTTCTATTTCCAGCAGACACCTGCTTTACTCCTGGTAATTGCCCTAACTCTTTAAATAAGTGATACAATCACTGCATGTCTTTAGGAATTGCTTCTCCCAGAATGTCTTATGGACTGAAAGCAGCAGTTGTTTGAGCAATTAGTCACATTCTGAGGTAGATAAACAAGAGCTTCTAAGTACCAGATAATGAAGCCAGACAATGCAAATATGTTTTTTTCTTTGACTAATGTCTGATGTGGAAATTGGTTTTCACCGTCCATCACAACTATGGAGACTGTTATTTGATTACAGGCAGAGCACGATCATGATCAGCTTTGCAAAAATGACCCACCCTTTTCTAGTGGGCACATAGAGCCCAGCACCTGTACCCTGCTTTATCCTGCCTCCAGGAAAAAGGTTTTTATAGGGGTTTTTGTAGGATGTCTTTAAGTGCAGAAGTCTCTCAAAACGTCAATCATGCATTAACTGCTTGAAGCCACTTATGATCTAGCAGTCTCCTTGAAACCCACTGAGRGTTTCATTTTCTTCCCTGACTCATTTCCACAGAATTCCCTTTCCTTTGAGGAATTTTTCTGGGAAATAGAGGATAATGCTCTGGGGCAAGTCTTGTGAGCTGACAAGTGATAGTTTGGTTTCTTTTTTTTTGAGACGAGCTGAGTGACATTTGTTAGTTTAGAAGGCTGTGCTGTTCACCAAGACAAACCCTTCAAACTTTACCCACTCTTCTTCCTTGCTTCCAGCACAAACAGCAGTGATGAAGGTCTATAAAAGATGTAAGTGGGGAATTTCACTGACACTAAGATTAAATCTGAAAGCTCATTCTCCTCTTCCTTCTGTTTTTTTTGTTTTTTGTTTTTTTTTTTAATGTGACACAGACTTTTGTGACATTTGCTTTTCAGAGAAACTATCTCATGCTGCATTAACTAGAGAACAAACTCTCATGAACATCTTAGTTTTTGTTACTGAACTCTTTCCTGATGTTCAATAAGAGTTCTGAACAGGATTCTTCTTTCTTCTTAAAAGACAAAAAAACTTTGCCCCTCACTCCCTCAGCAAACTTTTAGGAGATTAGGAGATTTAGGAGATATACTTCTTACTTCTACAAGCCAAGTAAGTATTGCTTCACTTTCTGGAGAAAAAGTTTCTTTTTCTTAGCCCATAAACTTATTGCTATCTTTTCCGGGGTAATCAGCAAAACTTCAATATGCTGGGGGGACGAACACCCTCATTCCCACTGCACTGATGATTTGGTGTGTTASCTAACCTTAATTCAAGTGTCTAAACAGGGTATGTACACATTGATTATTACTGGCTCTCGGTTTAGAATAAACTAAATGGCAATCAAACACCTTGAAAGTCAAACACATCATTTGGCAGTGACTATCCTTGAGGATCTGCCATCCAAGGATTCCATAATAGGATAYATAAGTATAAGGTCACTGCCATATTAATTTTTCTGTTTTTCTAGAACTGCTTTTTACAATATGATTGCTGRAATAAGAGCACTATGGACATAGGTGATCTAGGCACTGTCTTTTCCCAAGACATCAGGTTGGCAGGTGGTGTAAAGCACCTCACAGTGCACCACAGGTTCCCTAGAGAACCTGGATAGCTCATGTCCCATCTCCCTCTGACASTCCCCTTATCTGTGATAGGAGGGTGATAATTCTCTATTTACCTCTGGGTTCTACAAGACTGAATGCCCAGGAAGTGCCCGAGAGTCTCCTGGTGGGGGCCACTATAGAATGCAAGGTTTTAAAAGAGAGTGAGCTCCTGACCCAGCAACACACATTGCACAGCCTTCAGAGATGCTCTTTATCCCCACCACATTTACTACCAGTGATAAACACACAGCCATGCTCAGCCTTTGGCATTTCTCTCAGAAATRTGCCCCGTAAACCTGTGCGATCTGGCTTCTGTTTTTCAGGTGGCTCCACCACTATTTTTTCTTTTGCTTCAGCATTATTAGTTCTCAATGATGCCTCAGCATGTCCAAAAGTGTCTGGGACCCTTGAGAGAGCTTACTCTATGGGACACAGATGTTTGTAATAACTGCACATATTTTCARTTTTCAAGCAACAAAAGAGAACCATGTGTTTGTTGTTGAGGATACTGTAGCTAAGGACACGAGGCTGGGACCRTAGTAGAAAGCTTATGTGTTTTGTTTACAGCAGAATCTATTTGTCCTGTCCAAATGCCAAGACTTATCTCTTCTGACTGGTACAAAATAATATTGCAGGCTGCTGATCCCTTTACTCTGTTCCACTTGCAGCATCTCCACTGGCCAGCAATCATTAAAAACTATAGGGCTGGTTGATGGTTTTTCACTCAGTATCCATTATCACTGAAACAGATTACCAAACCCTCCCCACATGTGAACATGGAATCCATACATCACCACTGCCTCTTCTTTTTCTTCCARAAAATGAATCAATCTGTTCACATGGATTGGGCAACAGCACAAAAGTGAATGGACAGAAGGAGTCACACCTATATCCTCCATTTGGAAGTTTTTCTTTGCCTTTGCGATTCTTTAATYAAGATTTAAACTACTGAGGAAGTGAAAGACTAGAAGTGAAAGAGRAAGAAAGGGCTACTGTATTTTGCTTGTGAGACGTCTTGATTGCCTCAGATGGATACAGATAGATGACAGAGATAGAGAGACACAGATAAATCARCAGGTCTAGCAAAATAACAGAAGAATTTACTATATTCATTTATTTTTGTTGATCCACCAGAACAGTGATCCTGAAGCAACTTTTTATTTATTGCATCCTATTGCTTTCTTTAGTTCCTGAGAGRCAATATCTAGAAACAAGAGAATTCGTAATGGGAAAGACAAGGAATAGAAAAATATGTAGGATAGGGGTGCTTTTTTGTACAGTACTGGTTATCTTTAGGCATGTTCAGCAATAAATGCTACCCAAATGAAGTGATAAGCTCAGTACGTCATGTTACTGATGTATTCATAGCTTGATCAGTTGTCTTTCCTGAAGCTCAGACGTTTTTCTCCACCCCACAAACTTGTTGGAGTGATATTTTATCATTGACGAAAGGGTCATGCAGTGGTTAAATAGTGTCATTCCCCAAGTATTTATTTACTTTTCATACTACAAGCCTTTGTACAGCATGAAACTGCCTCTGGCCTGATGAGAACTCCCAGCAGAGTCAGATTTTTTTTTTTCCTTTGATTCCTGGACATGGAGGATTTAGACTGCAGGGTCAGGATTATAGARTAGCCTTTGCTATGGCTCACAGGAGTCATCTGGGAGAGTCCAGGCAGTCCTGTGACTGAGATTTCCAAAAGTATGCAGCACCAATTAACTCCATGGGTTCAACTCCCTGAACTCCACTAAAAGTCCTTGCTCATGGCTTGCAGCAGGGATTAAGAAGCAGAGGGTCTGTGCAGGAACACTACCTAGCAGATAGAGCATGCTCTTACAACAAATGTGCCAAAAAAATGCAAAATTATGCTGAGGGAGAATCAATAAAAATATTCCCAGAAGGAATTAAAAGACATTATCAAAATCACTCACACTTAACGCCAAAATCAGGAAACTGGACTGTATTTCTGATAAACCCTGTCATGGTCACGTAGGGGAGATATCAATGCTTCATGGGCACTGGAGTTCATCCGGAATGAGGAAGCAAGAAATTTGGACTGCAGTTCCCATGACCTATCACAGCTGTGTAGAAGCTGGAAAATGTTGAAATTATTTTGAATTATTTTCGACTTTTAAAAAATTGTCCCATGATACCCCTCCCGAGAACGAGCCTGAATTTTTGCAGGGTGATTGTCTCGCACAAATGTGRATTCTGGCTACAATCACAAATGCATTTCACAGATTAACTCACATAAGATATTTTAATGTTGGCTTTATACACCTAATATGCCCTGCTTTTCATGTTGATATTTAGCTCAGCTGAAGCTAAATGCAGCCCCACAATGTCCTCTGCCCAGTTTTGGATCAGAACCTTGCAAAACCAGAATTGCACACAATTTTTACCCCTGGGTGGGTTTTGGTCTGGTTTTCTTGTATCACCACTCTACTGCATTAGTAATGTTCAAGAGAGCGCACTGAGTTAAATAATGAAGTTAAGATGTTCTTAAATCCATGGGACAACCTCACAATGAATAAACACGGTCATAATTCAATAGAGTTGCACAGACTTTCATACCACAGTGTAGCAAAGGGCTCCATTTTATGATCTAATAAACTATATAAGARGGAGCTGCAGAATATACACAGAATCCCTGGCATTTGCTTCCCTGTCTCCCTCCTTACCCTTTTGACTAATTTCTTGCAGCGTAACTAAACATATTTTTTCTTTTCTTTTCCTTTGCAGATATACCCAGACCTTCCACAGCCAGACAGAACAGATAAAACACTTTTAGGCTGGCTCCAGAAGACTCAGCCTGTGTTTGACTACCACCCTTTTGGATAAATATTTTGGGATTCAGGATGAATAAGACGAGGGCTGTTGATGATGGTTTTCATTTCCTGARCAGCAAGAACTGGAGCTCAAGCCGAAGTTTTCCTATGAACATTTCTAATCAGTGCATGAACATCACTGACCTTACTGTCTTTCTGGCCACCTCTTACAGCTTGGAGACAGTTCTGGGCATTGTGGGAAACATCTGTCTGATTGCTGTCATTGCCAGGCAGAAGGAAAAGGCCAATGTCACCAATATCTTAATTTCCAACTTGATAATTTCAGACTTGTTTATGTGTCTTGTCTGCCTGCCTTTCACCGTTGTTTACACCATGATGGACTATTGGATATTCGGAGAAGTCATGTGCAAAATGACCTCCTTCACTCAGTGCACAACTGTGACAGTGTCAATCCTTTCCCTTGTCCTTATTGCTCTGGAAAGACACCAGCTCATCATAAATCCAACTGGCTGGAGGCCAAATACCTCCCAAGCCTATCTAGGAATTGGAGTAATTTGGACTTTAGCATGTCTCATGTCCCTACCCTTTTTGACCACGTCCATCTTGTCTAGTGATTTGTATGAGCAGCTCTCACACTTCATGAATTTTTCCACTGATAAGGCCATATGTATCAACTCATGGCCTTCAGAGCAGCACAAACTTATCTACACCACCACTTTACTGCTCCTGCAATACTGCATCCCACTGTTCTTCATTATCCTTTGCTACCTGCGAATCTACTTACGGCTGCAGAAGAGAAAGGACATGTTTGAGAAGAGTGAGTACAGCAACCGAGCAGTCCAGCTGAGAAGGATAAACATTTTGTTAGCATCCATGGTTGCTGCTTTTGCTGTTTGCTGGCTACCACTGCATGTTTTCAACACCATCGTGGACTGGAATTACAAAATCATTTCCCCTTGCCACCACAACCTGATCTTCTCATTGTGCCACCTGGTAGCTATGGCTTCCACCTGTGTCAACCCTGTTATCTATGGTTTCCTAAACAGCAACTTCAAAAAAGAAGTGAAATCACTGATTCTGAGCTGCCAGCATAATTCAGTAACTGCCTCAATGGAAGAATATGATCATTTGCCTTTATCCACCATGCAGACTGAAGTTTCCAARGGTTCACTGATGTTGAACTGCAGACACAATTCTATCTAACGAGCAGAAAACATTTCAGAGAGGTGCACTGACACCACACACCAATACCTGTGGGTATATAAAGCAACTGCTAATGCCACAGCTGGGAGGTGAACAGGAAGCCATCACTACCTGYTTTTTGGAAGAAAGGCAAAGTAATGTCATAAGTGTTTACATTCGCTGCTGTGGTACACAAGTTTTTCATGTCATTGAGGTGTTAAGGACCCTGAGGAGACTGGGCTGATGTGTAAGCAGCTGCTGTAATAGAAGTACCTAAGCTGTGGCTGCACAGAGGCTGATATGGGGCTCAGCAGTGAAGCTCATATCTCTATTATGCCTTCAGTAGAAAACCAGTTTCCCAGTTTCAGCACTGTGGGCTGCCAAAAGTTGTGTTGGAGAAGACTCTCTCAGTGTTTTCAGTATTAGGAAGATTTTTATGCACAGCTGACACACTAGTGGAACAGAGATATGTACATATCCAATTTTTTTTTTGCTTTACCAACTCTCACAGCCCATTAAATAACACTAATCTTTCAGCAGATCTTCACATAAAACGACTGCATGTTTCTATGAAACTTTACTCTCTGCCATAGGTTTGAGAATWGTCATTGCCTCTGCAAGCAGGGACACAGAACAATGACCTTGRTATGTAAAGAAGACAGTCACTTATGAGGGATGGCAGCAAATGAAAATGTTATTCAGTGGATTAAACTCAAAATGCGTTGAGATGATACTGAGAACTATTTTTAAGCACATGAAAAACAGTTGTAGATCTACATGGAAATGAGTCTGGTTGAATTTGTAACTCCCACTGCAGTCAGTCACAAAGTTCTGCAATGCTAAAACTTCATGCCATGATGGCACAAGGTGGCTGGATTACATGAGTTGTTCCAGGATTGCTAGCAACATGTCATTCTGCTTCAGCATCTTCTTGGTACTTTAATTGCACAGTATCTAATTCAGAAGGTCAGAATGAGCATGAAAACCTGCTTGCAGAAATCATGYGTTTCCAGAGTGGATACAATTCCAAAGAAATACAAATATGAATGGAGGATTTCAGTTTTCTTATAAAAACAAAACCAGATGTCAGATATCAGTCCCACTCGCTGGCATCAGCAAAACAGCTGAAGCTGAAATTCCAATCCATCAGTAGAAAACACACAGGTGGAAACCAGGTCAGGCTGAAGCCAAGCCACATGTAAATAGGTAGTACTGTCAATTGCTCTACAAAAATGAGGGTCCTATTTTTTTACATCTGCGCTATTTGTAGCCTTTGTTTATGAAACCTACAAACTGTAAACTCACGTTAATGTCTGGAGCTGGAGAAATTGCTCAGTGACTACTGAGAAACGAAGGCATGCTCGAGAAGGCCATCCTGAGGTAGAGATTAAAAAAAACAAACAGGTAGCAAATGCAAAAGGGAGACAAACCAGTTCAATGCTAATGAAATATTCTCTCCTCATTTGTTAAACCAACCTTAGGAAAAGACTGGACTAGATGGTCACCTGAGGTAAYTTCCAACATGAATTGTGCTATGATAAGTGGTGGTTACTTGTTGCAATCAGTCGGTTTGCACTGAGTTGAAGATATCCAGTGTGCAGTGATGCAAACAACTAGAAATTGCTTAGCTGGCAGCTCTCTGATTAGGCAAATTGGTATTAAGTTAGGTGAGGAAAAGACTTCTTCCCATGCTGTGAGGTGAATATGGATGATGAATGGAGTGAAGACAAGAGCTAAACCCTCTGCCATAGGGCAGCAAAAGCTATCAGTAAGTATGAGATCATTTCCCCAGCTGGCAGAAATACGAGTGAACCCCTTGCCATGAGCTTGGGCACAAAGATCTCAGTGGTAAAACTTGAAATTTGGCCTTGAATTCTTGTGTGCAGAATCTTAAGGCAGCAGCTGTTTTGATGCAGCCCTGCATCAACCCTGCTAATTCTGGCCAGAACCTGTATATCTTAGTAAGAGAACTTGTGTGTGATTACCTTTTGTATCTTTCTCAACTATGTGGCAAGAGAATTTTGCATTTTTCAAATGAAATTTTGCTTGCTTTTTTTTTTTCTTTGTTACTTGCCATGTGCACTGTGATTTCTAGACTGGACATAGGTTGTACTAGAAACACAGAACAAGAGGACTCTCATTTTACCTTAGATGCATCTTGAAATTCGCTACTGTAGCCAAAACCACCATGTGATGCTGAATAGCACAAAATACAGAAGCTCGTCCTAATCAGCGTGAGTTATATGAAAACTGTGCTGTATTACTTCAGGGCTTAAATACTGTTTCAACTTTGTCACTGTTTTGTATTTAAAATCTATTTAAGTAATTGAGTAATTCTGCCTGTTTTCTGCACTTGTTAGAATTGTAGCATTTAACTAGTGGTGTGTCAAACTATTGTAAAAATACTCTGCTAAACATGAACACAGAAAATGATCTGATATATGGTCTTTAAGTATATAAGTTTTCAAGCACCAGTGTCTTAAATGGAAACACAATTCCCTTTAGCATTTCCATGAATATGTTTTTGTCACTAGATCTAAGTGACAACTTTTGGTAAAACTTACAGTAAATCAGAGACCTGCTACTAGAGTTATGCACTGRATTGTACATCAGATCCGAGTTCTTCCTGCAAAGGTTAAAAATATGAGCAAGATCTGACACTCTGTTTAACTGTAATTCACGTGGCCATTTGTTTCCATGATCACAAGTAAATATGTAAAACAAGCAGATCCAACTTTACACTAACTCAGACAAACACAAACGGATGTTATCTTCCTTCCATGATTAAGGGAAGTGTCAAGTTTAGAGTCAACTACTGTTTATTGCTAACTGACTTTGGACTGGATAAACGACAGGATTTAAACATTAAAAGGCACCAAACTGCACCCATACATCTAACTGCAAAAATGCAGATCCTCAGAACTCCCAACCAGCTGCAGTCAATCCATCTACTTACATATCATCCTGACACACGTTTTTCAACTTCTAAAATWTCCTAAGCAACTAAATAAACTTTAAAGTACACTCAGAAAAATAAATGTATCCAGGTACCAAAGGACTGAATGCCATGTGAAAGCCCYAGCTTTGTTTTACACTTTAGATATCCACTTGCACAAGCAGCTGTAACAGGAAAGGTACCTGTACCACTATTCATTCTATCCATACACCAAAGCTTATGCCTTCATGCACAAATACACTAGAGGATATGACACTGTTAGTTTTTAAGAATTGCTGTAGCAACTGTTCCCTGTTTCCTTTGAAGGCAAAGTCACAAGGCTGGGTGCAATTATTCTTGCATGTTTGAAAGAGCCATTTTATTTGTCACTTTGAGGCTTTATGCAACCAAGGTTTCTTTGGTCCCAGCAGAAAGTAACGGAACAGAGGTAGCTTACATAAATCTTATCCATTTGTATATAACAGATRTTGTTCATATGTAAGAAGCATTGAGCATTTTTGTGTTCATTGTATACAGTGCTGGTTTTGGGTACATTCTTTAAAGTTCTGCTACGGAGTCGCAAAAGCAATGTTGGAGAAATAGGCAGGACTTGTGCRAATCAGAAGTTCATACAATTTTAAGAATTACACTGCCTTTTTAAAAGAAGCTTTTCGTAATCTTGCCTTTGTGACACATTATAAGAAGACAGTAAGATTTTCAGAGCAAGAGAACAATTTATTTCTGTAATATAAGTAGCACACTATAGGGAGTCTTGTAACAACAAATAAAATAATATTGTCTGTGTCACTTCTCTGTGCCTGCTTCTATAAAATGATGTAATACTTCATAGTATAAAATACGTAAGATTTAGTCCTCTACTAGTGTGTATCAGGAGAAAACAAATGTATTGTGTGATAAGAGCCATGGATATGTCAAGAATTAATAATTTGACACATTATTCCTAAAGACAATGGTGCACTGCAACTAACAAAGAAGGACAGGCAAGCACCAAAAATTCAACATGGAACATTGGAATATTCTGATTCCAGAACTCAAATCATCTTTGCAGACTTTTCAGATTGCACAGGAAKCTGGGTCTTATGTGACACCCTGTCCTGAACCCTGACCAGAACCACAGCCAGAAAGCAACTCACACTGCTGCAATGAAAACCAATGTGGGGCACTTAACACAATTTTACTGAACTTCATAARTTGCTGTGACTGGGTTAAAAGTATTGGTAAATTACTCTGACCTGGGTTACCTGCCTTGACAGAAAGTAAACCAAGGTAACAGAAATGGCTGCAGATTGTGCCATAACCTTGTTTGGTTTTTTAYACTTGCACACACAAGGGAAGAGTGCAATAGCAGTGTCTGGTGCCTGCCTGGACTGSTGGTGTGCCATAAACTGCTCCAGTGGTTGGAGTGATGTTGTGACAGCCCTCAGTCGGTGTCTGCAGCGTAGGTTTGCTGTGTGCAAACACGAGACACTCACATTGAGGCCTGGCAGGCTGTGAGAGATGATTGTGAAATAAGATGTCACACCCTGAGGACCTTAAGAGATTGTTTTGCTTTCATCCATGTGTCTTCTCACAAGATCACCTGGCATTTCTTTCTAGAGGCCATTCTCTTCAGGTTTCTTATAGACCAAACACTGGCCTGATTTTCATACCAGTATTGATTTCAATGTAAATTGTTGTCACATAGCACAACGTGTAATCTGTGTTTACATTGTATGAACATCGGAATCCACATAACTTTTGTGATCTTCCATCCCTTTCTCAGTTTGCTCTATAAAGTCACTTCCTTGAACTCAGGAAGTCATAAGTAGAATAAGCCTGAGATTTATACTTCTGTACTATGCCTTTCCTGCCAGACAATGCTCATTAGGCTTTAGTCACAATTGTTTTGTTGTCCTTCCAATAAATGCTTATATGAAACCCAGTAGCAGCACAGTGATTATATGATGGAAATCTGTGTCGAAATATAATTCCAGAGATGCCTACCTTTTGTTTTTTTCTTTATAGAACTTTAATTGATGAGACCCCACCACYCTTTTGTAAAAAACAATTCAGTTAAATAGTACTACAGTACTCATCAAATATGATAGAAAGTACTATGTTCAATAGATATTATAACACAGATTACCAGATATAATACTAAAAATAAAAGCCATGATACACATAAAATGATGGCATAATATTAATATGAATAAGTACTTTTAGTGGAGTATCACAAGATGCAAACTGACGGAAGAAAGATGGTATGATAACAGAGAACATGGAACTTGCACTGTAACTCTTTAAAATGGGACTAGGTTTTGTTCTTAAATTCTCACATAAAAATTCCTGCCCTTTGAATGTAAYAACTTCAGCCCATGAATTACTGTGTCCCTTATCCAGACTATGGGAATATTAGTTCTCCCTGTTGAGAGCTAGTGGGCCAGTACTACTTCATAATTCATAATTATTTGTCTTGATTCCATTTCTACAAGGCTCTTGCCTGTAAAATGCACTTGTCCAATGCCATGCCTTTAGTGAGGTAATGAGCATTGACTCATGTGGCTGATAAGCTGACTTAATGACTAAAAGCAATTACATGCATTACAGGTATTTCTTTATATTTAAGATATACTGTAGAAAAGTTCCTGAAGTCTTAAAGACAAGTGTAACCCCTTTCTGAGASACACTGTATTCACAGGAGAGAGCTGAAAAACACAGGAAAGTTACGGTCTTCTCAGCATGTATGTTAAACTCAATGGAATTYACAGAGTCAAGCAGAGACTTTTGTTTAAACTTTACAAATACACAGACTGCTCCAGGAGCATAAAATACATGTACCCCCCAGGGCTATGTTTTGGGAAGGCTCCCAGGCTACAAAAATAGCAGAAGCTGGCTAGCACTGTGGTAAAGGTTTTTAAAGCTGGTGTAACACCACCATTTCCATTTAAAATTGAGCCTGTGCTGAAATGCATCAGAAATACAGCCATACAGTCCCAAATTGTGCAACATCCTTTCATAATAACCCATATTTCCACAAGCCACCGCAGAAGCCCCACACGGCATATGACACAACACACAGGCATGCACAGCTTCTCTCCAGGCAAGCTCATCACCAAAAGGCCTTCTGTTAAACCTACAAACTGCTAATATAGTTCCTCTGTCTCAGAAATAGTCCAGGAAAACTGGTTCTTAATAGAATGAATATATTTTCCATGCATTGCAAGGAAAATCTTCATGGCACTGTAGCTGCGTTCAGCATCTGGGTGAGTTGCTTACAGATACTCCTAAATAAAAGGAGTATCTTATTTGTGGGAAGGAAGCAAGGAATTACTTGGTTGCCACCAAAGAAAGTGTTCTACTTGTGTTCAGAGCAACAGGCACGTGATCAACTATTTGCACTGCAAAATGAATGTATTATGTACCAGATTTGCAAAGATTAAGCTTTAAGTGAGGACAATGAGGTTTTGTGCTTCATAAMATTTTCACTGATCAGTTTTCCACAAACCACAATTGGTTAGAACAACAACGTGCAAAGCATTCCATGATTAACACATACATAAGATTTATCATAAACATCCAGTTTCTCAAGATCTGGGCCATGGAACAAATGTACACCATGCATTTTAAAAATAATTCCTTAAGAAAATAGATTTTTTATTTTGAAAATTTCCAAGGAACAACTACAAGGACAAAAAAAAAAGTCCCTCATTCTGCAAACAAGTTGAATGCAGTAAAAAAAAATTGTTTACTTCAAATTATGTCAGGAATGGGAACAGTTTGGTTTTAAATTTCTTATTATGCAGTACTTCCTAGGTCACATATTAGTTTCACTAGAAAGAACAAAAAGGAACAGTAATGATAAACACTGCAAAGCACACATRAATGCACTGTTGTGACTGGTAAATGGTATGGCTTGTGGCAGCTCAGCACAGCAGACAGCTTCTCTTTAGWAAGGGGGAATGTGCCTTTGTTTCAACCAGCTTAACTCAGTATCAATTTTTATATTGAACCTGAAAGAGGGAGTAGGCGGCATCTGTGCACACAGAGAGTATTTGAGCATAAAGGATAGG